CAACGAATGCTATGAACGATTGAAAAATAAAAATACTAATAGAAACCTTCACAGCCAACTTGAATCGAATACATTTTATAAGTAAAATCATCACTTGCTTACTTATAACAAATTTTATAAATTTATACTAAACTTTAATTTTTTGTTTTTTTATTTTTTAATTTTAAGAAAACTTTGATCAATAGTATTGGTTAATAAGAACCACTGTAAAGCAGCAAAATATTTTTGATGGCAAAACAACGTTTGCCGGGTCAGCTAGTATATATATATATATATATACACATATATATTAACAAAGTCTAATAATCGGGCATAACATCAATAAAAAACATGAATTTCTTTCAAAAATTTATTTTAAATCCATACGTTTCGGCTATAATCCTAGCCTTCATTCAGTGGAAAAATTAGTTGATCTTAGTGTTAAATTGGAAAATTTTAATAATCCATGGTATTAGGATATGGTAATGCACTACACTATGTATTATAAACATTAACTTGAAATTACACAATATTTTCACAAAATACTGATTTGAAAAAATCACAAATGAATAGTGTGTTATTCGTAGACTGGTTGAAGATGTCATCTTCCATTTGCGATTTTTTCAAATCAGTATTTTTTGAAAATATTATGTAATTTCAAGTTAATGTTTATAATATATAGTGTAGTGCATTACCATATCCTAATACCATGGATGATTAAAATTTTCCAATTTAACACTACGATCAACTAATTTTTCCACTGAATGAAGGCTAGGATTATAGCCGAAACGTATGGATTTAAAATGAATTTTTGAAAGAAATTCATGTTTTTTATTGATGTTATGCCCGATTATTAAACTTTGTTAACTGGCACGGAAATGCAATTTCCAATTGATATGTTTCAAACAAACTTATAATATTAGATTATATAAAATCATATTAATTATAATAAAGAAAGACGATGTTGTATGTCCCAAATCGAGGTTCATTATTCCAAATTTTATGAATTCTTATATTCAAATCACTTGAGAACATGAACTCCATCATCATATAAATTTCCATCAAAATCGTTAATTTTAACGTCCAGGCCAATCTTTACCGAAAGCTAATCAGCACGATTTCGAACTACAAAAATATAAAAATAAATTTATTTATATAAATTTTCTAAATTGGTATAGGATTCTTGGCAACTTTTACAATATAAATGACAAGCTGTCTTATAAATCTATTAAGTAATTGAGGTGATGAATGACAATGTTTTTTTCATAAGGCAACTCAGTAATACACCTTATATCGGTGAAATAAGAGCATATCACTTTTGGACATTTTGGCAAAAATTTGGACGAAAATTGTGCCCATCATCGCACAAAATGAACAAAATGAAAAATCAAGTAACTGATGGGATTTAAATTTTTGAAATTGGTACAGCTATTTTTGAGAAAACATCACTTTTGGACATTTTGGCGAAAATTTGAACGAAAATTGTGCCCATCGTCCCACAAAATTAATCAACTCAAGTCCTTATCGGGTAACTAATGGAATTAAAATTTTTGAAATTGCTGCAGCTATTTAATAAAATTGAATAAAAAAATTGAAAAAAATGGGCTCACATACAAACTTACGTCAGACGATTCAGCGTCACAAAAAAATAAAAGTAGCAAATTGATTTTTTAGCGAAAACATGACCTTAAGGTAACAAATAATGATGAAATCAATTCCAATGAATTTTAATTAATTGAAATAATTATTAGAAATAAATTTCAAAAAATCAAGATTTTTGTTATCAAGTCTATCAAGATTTAAGTATTCGTTAGCACGGAATAGAATTACGAAATTTTAACTTAATGAGGATTAAAAAGCTGTTTACTAATAATTTAAGTAAACGCAAACAATTGAATTTAACCTCTCACCGACCTCGCGTGTCGTCGTTTCCCATTTTGAATCATTTTGAAGATGGTCCATTTTCTACATTAACATGGCGTGATCATTTTTTTCTGGCTTGTTAACACACCTCATATTTTGTTTAATTTCTTTTTGTTTGAAACTCTATTAACCTTCCATAGTAAGAAAATAAATTTGGTCAAAAATGCTGCTTGTGATTAGAAGAGCAGCAAACGGAATCAATTGTTTTAGATGAAAGAACAAAATATAATAAAAAATACCACATAAAAGTAGAAAATTACCTTTTCTGTTGAGGACTGACAAGTATTAGAATAATATACTAAAATACAGTTCACCAACGCCATTTGAATTGGAACAATGAATTTGCTGCAGCGCAACTGTAAAATTTAAATATAACCTATTTTTAAATATTCTTTAAAATAAATTTTATTAATTTATGATATAATATATGTCATAGTCTTATGTATAATATAGTCAATGTTCATAAGAATTATTTTATTATTAGCCTATTTTTTTAATCGTGCTGAATTAAAGTATAACAATGTTTTTTGGATTCTTTTAGACAATATGATGAGGAACAGATAATTCTCATGTATTTTGATTCCATTTCTAGCTATTCAATATCATTATATTTATTCCGACGTTTTTGATATGATGTTAAAGATTTGATTTTTAAAAAAGAGCAGTTAATTTTGTTTATTGCAAATCTAGCAATAAATATAAATGTTGGGAATTCATCAGTATATAACCAATTTCTACTATTCATTATAACTACTCTCATTGTGATTTCTAGACATCTTTTTGAGTGAAAGTGAAAGATGTACAAGTTTTAAAAAATATTTTTATTTTGCTCACAAATCTGGCAATAAATGTAAAATTTGGCAATTTAATGGTATAATACAAAGCATCAGAGAAAACACATTGAAAATTAAATATTACTATAATTGTTATTGAGTTGTATAACAAGATATAAAATGCAAGAAATCATGCATTTGTGCGAGTATTAATATTATACATATTATTTATTATATTATGAAAATATTTTGTCTATAAAACAGAACATTGTTAGTTGATAAAGCACGAAATCTCTTTCCGACTATAAACAGCACTAGCATGCACAATATAAGCAAAAGTGCATGCAGATAAAGTTTATGATCCAAATCTATGCCTTCAATTTTAACTATATTTTCTATTGAAATCTCTACAATGGCGGTGAAGAAATTGTGAAACGCTGCAACAATTACCTTACAGGGCATCGGCGCTTCAGTATAAATGAATTGATCATAAGTAATACTAAAGTAAATTTCTCCTAGTATCAACACAACAGCCTGAGGTAGCATCCAAAAGACATTTTGGCACAGAATTCGGTTCCGTTACTACAAAAACTCTTGCTGTGCTGTTGACTAATGTAACCAAATAAACCCCGCCTGGGTCCAAATCGAGTTTCGTGACTTTCGCTCCGTTCAAGTACAAATCATACACAGATACGTCTACTTCATATATTCTGGTAGGATTATTGATCACTGAATGTCCGGCAACAATGCTTGGTTTTACAGTCATCGAAAACTCCGAGCCGTATGGATCTCTGATTACCACGTTGTCCCGAATGCAACCGCCTGTCCATCTTCATTCCTTATCATCACCGACATAGCAATACCGCCATATGTATCTATCGTTTCATTTATTGGAGGGAAGCAAGATCCTCTTATTGAAAGGTGTGGTGAAAAGAGTCATAGGGTACGTGTTTATTGCTGTACATTCCAAAAGGATTCACTATGAGGTAGTCTGGTACGCTGTACAATTAAAACCATTGAATATCCTGATTTGCAACTCCTTCTCCGTTGGCAAAGGTGGCAATTGTGACTTGATGCAGGTTTCCAATATTCCTGATATCAGGAAAGCAATTGATATCAACAGTCCACCAAAAATCATTCTTCTGAACGTTCTATCAAGTTTCCATGGTATAATTATATCATGGTATAATCTATGACGTGATCGCATATTGGCATAATTATAATCGCCAACAATGGTTTCATCAACTCGTAATGTTCTAATAGAAAACTAAAAGATCCTAATTGACCGTCCATTTTGCTGGCCTGGGTCATCCATTCATCTATATATCGGCTGTACAGGCCGGAGAAAACTGGAACGCAACAAAAAATAATAATCATATTATAAACCGTTTTAATATCGGTAACTGATTCTGTTCCATATTCGGGTTCTGCATGGTCAAGCCAATGTGGTCGAGGATTATAGTTTTACGATCTTGAATTGAAAGTTTCATTCCGTTCCATATGCAGGCGATGATATATTTTGAGGTGTGCACCGATTTCAAAATGATAAAATAGCGATTTCCTACTAGAAAAATAATAACGTTGGCAATTTTCAAGAGCATGCTTATACTGAAAGTCAATACGAAGCAGTCCTCTTCTCCTAAACATGAAACTGATTTCGTGATTAATGGTCCGTGAAAATTTCCGAGGAGTCCGGTGACATTATGTAGTATGTATAATGACCTATAGTACTTCATCAGCGCGGGTTTCTCATCTGGCAACTGAAACTGGTTGCCCTCAAATGCGAATTGTACGCTGTTCACAACAAAAGCAAGAAAAATACTGTATGCCAAATGCGTATAATACAATTCCTTGGTTAAATATTGAAGTGACGGGACCGCCATCAAAGCCATGAGTGCTTGTTGAATGATTATTCCAATAAAATTGAAAAGTAATAGGTAGTATTTGTTTCCAAAAGATTCACTGATACATGCCCCGAGCGGCAGAAGAAAAATGATTAACAGTTTACGACATTGAAGAATTACCGACATTTCTTTTGCATCAAAAGCAATTTTATTGACCATAAACGAGTGCATCACTTTAATTAAGCATTTTATTTTTTTTATTTAATTTTATTGTCGTGGCAAAATTATTTTATTTTAGATTTTGAAATAATTAATTTAGTGCTATGGTTAAGGTAAGCTAATCTTCTTATAACAAATAGCAAGCATATTCATTAAAATATATTATGATATTTTATAACTTACGCATCTTCATAAATAAAATATAATAGAATATCTCATATAAGATCTACACCTGCTCAAACGATTTTTGAAAAAATTTCAGATGGCTGATTCTGCTGTTAGTGTACAGGTGGCTTTAAGGATAAGGCCTTTAGTCAAATCCGAAATTTCTAAAGGATATGTTAAATGCCTCGAAACAGTGCCAAATAAACCTCAAGTTTTAATAAAAAATCTTTCTTTTACTTACAACCATGTATTTCCACCAGAAGTTTCGCAAGCTCAATTTTATGACACTGCTGTGAAGGGTTTAGTTGATGGATTGTTTAAGGGTAATTTATTTCTACTAGAATTTAATTTTGACATAACATAACTTTGGTGTAGGTGAATTTATCTCTCATCTATAATCCCAAATTCTATTTTTATCTTCAGTATCTTTACTTTATTATTTATTATTTTGTTCAATCTAAAAATATATTTTAGGCTACAATGTGACAATATTAGCTTATGGTCAGACTGGCTCCGGAAAAACTCATTCCATGGGCATGGCTTATTCAGGTGGACCAGTCGAGGAGATGGGTGTTATACCAAGAGCAGTAAAAGACATTTTTCAAAAAATTTCAACTCTGACGGAGCAATATTATTTTCAATTACAAGTTAGATCAATATAAACTACTTTCCAAATATTAAAGTAATAAATTTAAAGTGTATTGTTAAGGAGCATATGGGGTTTAAATGAGAATTAAAATTTAAAAGCCATAACCTTTTTACACTGTAATTAGAGTTTATTTGAATACCCATAAATGGTCAGAAATTAAACATGTCAGATTTTCAAAATCTTTGCATTGTGTTTGTACTTCTATATGTTTGGTTGAATATAATTGTTCTGCACTCCTTAGGAGTGGATATGGATTGCTATTTAATATAATTTGCTTTTAGAAATCATAATAGTTTATGAAATTGTAAACATAATAATAACAGTAAGTCATTTCTTCAGTAAAGTATTTTCTCATGTTCTACAGGTATCATTTATGGAATTATATCAAGAACAATTATTTGATCTTTTATCAAAATCAAATAGAGATCAAAGTATAGTTGATATCAGAGAAGATCAACAAAAAAGAATTGTAATTCCTGGATTAACCGAAATTGAAGTAGGTGATGCAAAAGATGCATTAGATTGTTTAATTAGAGGATATCGTCGCAGAGCTGTAGGTGCAACTGCAATGAACAGTCAATCCAGTAAAAGTCATGCAATATTCACTATCCATATACAACAGCGAAAAATCAGCGATAAGTAAGTAATAGTCAGTAAAAGAAAAAAGCTTTACGTATTATTTTTTTGTTATTTAAAACTGGATCTAGTAATGATGAATGAAAATAATGGTTTTTGAATTGAAAATTATTTTAGTTCACCATGGTTGTCGCTTCGAAACCATACATACAAAGCATTTGTGCGAAAATTATGCGTGTGTAATGTTAGCGTTTTTTTGGATCTTCTGTTGACGTTTTCACAAAAACGATTGAACTGATTTCATAACTTCAAATGCCACTGTATGTAATTTGGTAAGGACTAGCATTGATTAGTTTTGTGCGACGTTTGCGATCATAGTTTTAAAGAACATAATAAAATATTATGGTCCTGCGACAAGAGGTTTAATTTTAATAAATTCATTAAAGTTTGAAAAAATTTGATACCAGCTTCTCTCTAGGTCGATTATTCCACATTTAAATGTCTGAATATTTCCTTTTTATTACTAGAAATAGTCTAACAAAATGCAAGTTACATTTGGTAGACTTGGCAGGATCTGAAAGAGCAAATAAAACAAAAGCAACTGGTAATCGCTTCCGAGAAAGTGTAAAAATTAATAAAGGATTGTTAGCTCTGGGTAATGTCATATCAAGATTGGGCGAGGGCTGTACGGGTTTCATAGGTTATCGTGACAGCAAATTAACAAGACTACTACAAGGTAAACTAAAACTTTAATTATTACATATTTATATATATATATATATATATATATATATATATATTGTTACGAATGTGTGGGTGATGACCCACACACAGATATAAAATAAGACATGAATACTCCACTCCCTATACGCATATACGAGTAAAAACCATGTCACTGATGAGTGTGTTCGAAGGCCTGTGGGGTAGTTAGTCTAGGAACAATCTAGACTCTAGAAGTAGTCGTAGTCTTGGGCTAGTCGTTGTCGAGGGTGTGAGTTGCCTGCAGGGCTTCAGAGTCGGCAAGCGTGCGGTCAACCGCACGAAAGTGTTAATCAAAATGTTTATACGAGTAGTGTGATTCTAGAGAACGTTATGGGGCGCAGCGTTTCGGGAGCTGTCGCCGAACCGAAAGTAGACTTATTGTTAGTGTAATTAGAAAATGTGATTGTTAAGTTAGTGAATCGGGCCCGATATATGGACAGGTTATGGACACGAATCAAGTCGTTAAAGGCTTATATATATATATATATATATATATATATATATATATATATATATATATCGTAGGGTCCGCCGTAGTCAAGATCGTTAACGCGATGACTTTGTATGGACAAGGTCGCGCGTTCGATTCCCCGCTCTGGCAACCTGGCATCGGGCAGCGCGATGTCCATTTTCAATTGAAAATATAGATCAAAATATGTTTCCAATTGAAAATAAGCCCATCTCGGGCACTGCGGTGTGAAATGGAAATGGGAAAAACTCTCACACTACTTCTTCCCTGAATCGAGTTATATTATTATATATATATCGTTGTGTTGAAAAAATATTTGAGTACTGTGCTATCCAAATATCTCTTGAGTATGGTCATTTTTGTTTAATTTGTGTTTACCGATCCCCAGACCAAAATGGTTCCACATTTAATACTCTCCTTTACGATCTTCTAAATGAGCTGTCTAATAAATACGATAAAATAATTTTATGCGGCGATTTTAATATCCATTTTAATAAAACATACAAATTGTTAGATGATTTTAAGATCTTAATTCAATCATTTAATCTGAGCCAGACTATTCATACTCCAACTCGTGTAACTCCACAGTCGGCCTCGTGTATCGATAATTTTTTTACTAATGTACAATTCATTGAATCCTCTGTTACAAACACCACTCTATCGGATCATTACGGTATATCTCTTGCGATTGCATCTAAGGCAAAACCATTCAACAATAAAATAAGTTATTCGAGAATTTTCGACTCAGCCAATAAGCTATGTTTCAAAGCCTTACTGGAAAAAGATAGCCTCGTATTTCAGGATAATAATGACGCTAATGCTTTATTTAATAACTTCATGTCATTCTTTCTATACAATTTTAATTTAGCTTTCCCTTCTTCAAAAAAAATCCAGGCCCCTAAACGGAATTTGCCCTGGTTCACTAAGGGCTTATGTATATCATTCAATAGATTAAAATTTCTAGAGCGTCTATCCAAACGGAATGGTACTTTATCGTTCCAAATTTACTTTTTGAAATATAGGCAAACGTTTAATGATTTAATTGATTTAGCAAAAATTAAATTCAACGAAGATTTAATACGGCACTCGTCTTGCAAGCAAAAAACTATGTGGTCTCTCATTAATTCTGAAATGAATCTAGAACGTAAATCTGCGGTAGAAATTAAATCTTTGACAATTAATGATGTAATAATTAATGACATTAATGATATTTCCAACGAAATGAATAACTTCTTTGTTAATGAGGCTTCAAATTTGACTTCCTCCATCATCTCGAACATCACTTGCTGCTCCCCTGTTTCGTATATTGTTAGAAATATTCATAGCTTTGTTTTATTTCCTGTCACAATTGAGGAACTTGCAAGTACTTTTAAAGCTATTAAATCTTCCTATTCCGCGGGACCGGATGAAATTCCTACATGCATCATTAAAGAATTCTATCCTCTTTTTATTGATAACCTATTAATATGTATTAATAAATGCTTTGAGCTGGGAGTTTATCCAAACCACCTTAAGCACTCCAAAATCCGCCCTCTTCATAAAAAAGGCGATAAAAATATTGTGAGCAATTACAGACCTATTTCTCTTCTTAATTCTTTTGATAAGGTGTTTGAAAAAATTTTGCACGTCAGAATCTCTGGGTTCTTAAATAAATACAATATTTTGTTTCACAACCAACATGGTTTTCGGAAAAAACACTCTACATCGCACTCGGTTTTTAGCCTCATCCAAAATGTTATTAACTCATTTGAAGATGGAAGTTATTGTGTAGCCGTCTTTTGCGATCTCTCCAAAGCGTTCGACAGTATATCTCACAATATTCTCATTGATAAATTAGAAATGTATGGTTTTCGTTCTAGCTCGCTTAAATTACTAAAATCTTATTTAACAAACAGAACTCAAAGCGTATATTTGGACAATAGCACCGGTGGTAAAGTTATATCCAGGAAATTAAACGTGAAAATGGGTGTCCCACAAGGATCAATTCTTGGACCGCTCCTATTTCTTCTTTACATTAACGACCTACCTAATTGCTCAAATCTTTGTGACTTTATTTTGTTCGCTGATGACACTTGTCTAACCATCAAAGCTAGAACATACGATGACCTCGCAACGAAATTGAACAGTGTCATGGATTCCGTTTCGAAATGGTTCAATATAAATAATCTTCTTTTAAACAACGACAAAACCCAAATTATTTCTTTCTGTACAGCAACGCGCGTAGCGAATGATATTTCCTCATTTACAATTAATAACTATTCATTTGACTCCTCTTCAGTATCTAAATTTCTTGGAGTTTATATCAATAAGAATCTTAACTGGTCTGAACACGTTTCCAACCATTTATGCTTCAAATTAACGCGTACATGCTTTATCCTGCGAACCCTTAAATCAAAAATTTGAATATCCAGTTTACTTTCTATTTATTACGCAAACTTTTATTCACACATTGCTTACGGTATCCAATTTTGGGGTTTCTCTAATGAACTAATTAAAGTTTTTAAACTTCAAAAGAGAGCAATTCGAATAATTTTTTCACTATCCTCCAAGACATCATGCCGTAATATCTTCAATGAACATAAAATTTTAACAGTACCGAGTATATTTGTTCTAGTCACACTTAATTTCATAAAAAATAATCCAGACTCTTTTAATTTGTCTTCGATGTCAAATACCAAGCACAATACGAGACATAAAATAATTAAAGGTAAGACTTATAAACTACACAGTTCCTTTAATACTATCTGCGGTATGGGTATACAATTTATGAATAAACTGCCGTTACGTGTTCGTACCCTTGATAACAAGAAATTTCATAAAGTACTAGGTAATGCGTTAAAGGATTTAACTTTTTATAGCCCTCTGGAGTTTTTAAATTTCGATTTTTCAAATTACTTTCCCGAAAATCTCAACTAATCATTAACGCGACTTTTCCCGCTCGAAGAAATTTCTCTATTACAGGCAGCAGCAAGATCGATGGATCGACGATGGCAAAAATCCCTACGAACCTACGGGCCCAAACTAACTGATGTCACCTACCAGCCATGTCTATGTCTACTATGCTCGTGACAATATAATTCGTTCGTTAAACTAAATACTTATAAATTACTATTATTATTATTATTTCTTTCTTTGTTTATTTTTTCTTTTTATTTGTTTTATATAACTGTTATTGTTATATTGTTAAAATACTTAATAATTAGTTAATTAAACACTTACAATTTAAAAAACAAAAAATTTGAGAAACATTTTTTTTTTTTTTTTTTTTATAATTATTATTTTCATAAGACTGTTATTTTTAAAATACTTAATAATTAGTTAACTAAAAACTTATAATTCAAAACACTTTAAAATCGTGAAACAAAATTTTAATTTTTTTATTTCGACTGTTATTGTTAAAATACTTAATAATTAGTTAACCAAAAACTTATATTTAAAAACACTTAAAAATTGTGAAACAAAATATTTCCTTTATCAAAATACCTAAAAATTTGTAAAAGAAAAAAAATTGTAAAAATATTTAACAATAATAATAAAAATGATAATGATAATATTAATAATAATAATAATTATAATAATATAAGATACTCAAATTTGTTAAAATATTATAAAATAACCTAAAATTTGTTAATATTGTAAAAGTATGTATTGTAAAGCTTATTAAAATTACTTATTAAATTTTTAAAAAACACTTGTAACAAACAAACTAGTTATATTAAAAAAAAAAAAATTATAATTAAGTAAATATAAATAGGTTTATAGTAAATAAATTAAGTAATTAAATAGCTAATAATTAATTAAATTATATTAAACCTATAAAATATTGACTTAAGCCTTATTATAATATTAAATATTATACCGACGGCTTGTAAAATTAATAAATAATAAATAAATAAATAAAAATAAATAAATCGTACGGATATATACGGCATCCGATTCCGACATACAAGTTGTTTTGATACGAGTTTCAGTCATTCCGAATCGTTCATATCTGTTTGTCATGTGTGATATATTTTCAATTTCTAGATTCTCTTGGGGGCAATGCGGTTACATTAATGATAGCTTGTGTAAGCCCAGCGGATTACAACATAGAAGAAATAATGAGCACGTTACGATGTGCAAATAGAGCAAACAAAATAAAAAATAAACCAATTGTAAATAAAGAGCACAAAAATGAACTTGTACTGAAATCGAGACAAGAGGTTACAACATTTTGCACAATAATTTACTTATGTATATGTATATATATATTATATATCATTAAGAAAAATTAAGAAACTTGAAAAAATTCTAAAAGATTATTATTTATTTATATAATACATACACATTATATACATTATTATATTAATTTCAGATAAAGGATAATAATTTATTGAAAGCATTAGATTCATTAGATGATGAAACTAAGGGAGAGTTAAGCACAAGTGAAAGCTCATGTAATATTCGTTTACATACAATTAAAGAAAGCATAGATGAAGTGCAGGTTTGTTTTCATATTTTATATCACTGACAGTTCAAAAAACTCTGCTTCTAATGATAAGTTTGAGAGTGTTTTTTGAAATATAAAAGTATAGAATAACATGTTTATTAAAATGAGACAGTCTTAAATCCATTTTTAGAAAACACTAATAAAAGTTTATACTCATATTTTGGACCATGATATTGAAAAAAGACCTGTATCAGAAGTGTCCTGTGAAAGCAGTGGTTTTCAAGAAGATGTTCACTTAGAATCATCTGAAAGCATTACTGACCTTGATGTAAAGGAACAACAAGATAACCATTTATCTCAGCAGGCAGCTTTAACAACAGGGCTCCAACAATTAAATAAGGAATTGGCTTGGAAGCGAACATTAGTGGCACAAGTTGCACAAAAAGTGAATATGCCAATACCTGAACCTAAATATGCTCCAAAAGACTTATTTGATATGATTGCTGACCCAAGGCGTTCAGTTGATGTCCATAATGGTATTATTACAATCAAATCTATTAATCTGATATTTTTATAGCAACAAAAATATGTAAATATGTGAAAAGATACAATGTTAGTATGGGAAAGTTAAAATAATTTTCATTGTATCTGCTTAGAGCGCGGTACTGAACTGGAGAATCAGCTAACAGAAGCAGTGGCGAAAGTTGCTCAATATCAACAGGAAATGGATAAGCTACGCGAGCAACATAGACATGAATTGGCTGAATTAATGACATATGGAAACAGAAATGATATTAAGAATTGTAGAACACGTGAAAAAAAGGCTCAGAAAATGAAAAAAGATCCAGATCATCTTAAGCTGGATTTCGAGCCAATGAGTTCATCAGAAAGTGATGATGAGGTTTATGCAGATTCCGCTAAAAAAGATCCTGATTTTAGAGTCCACTTAGCGAAGGTGAGTGAAATCATATTAATCAGTGAAAATTTTTACTTTTGATTATTTAAAATGAGTGATTTTTTTTACAATAATATTTGGGTTAAATAATGCTTAAAATTTATGAGCGTACTGGATTAGTAAATATAGTCTGGGAACACAAAGCAAAAGCTTTGTGCATCTTGTTTCTCCAAATTAAATTAAAATTAAAGCATGAGATATACATAAATATCAATATTCTCAATTACTCTCTAATATATTAGCAAATTAGTTGGCAGTGGTTTTCTCTCTCCGATGGTATCAATTGATTTTTTAGGTTTGCTCACGTAGTTGAAATATAAAAACTTTTTGTTATTGGATAGCAGACAAAAAAAACGGCAGTGTAAAAATTGGTTTGATAAATTTTGTTCTGGTGATTTTTCACTCAAATATGAAAACGCTCTGGTCGTCCAACTTGTCTGAATAAAAAATTGATTACAAAAGTGATCTAAATTCACAAAACGAAATGGTGATTTATTCCATTATTGGCATCACATATTTTTGGCCACTCAACAAAAATTACTAGACCATATAATGCTGACCTTGCCTTTTTTTATTACTTTTTGTTTTGATCTTTACAAAACTCCTTTAATGCTAAACAATTCAATGATTATTCTTGATTCAGTTTTTGTTAATAATAACCAGAAGTTTTTAGAAGTGGGATTATGCTTGCTTGAAGTAGCTTAAAAGATGACAAAAATCAGTGATAAAAATAGACAATGCATTTCAGAATAAAGTTATTTAGTTTCATAAAAAAAATGTTGATTTTCTTCCGCACTTAATTTAGTTGCCAACTTGATATCATATAATCATGTTTATAAGTTTTTTTTGAAAAACTTTTCTTTTGGTCAATTATTCCTTTTTTTGCTCATATACAGACACTGCCAAGGCATAAGCGAGTGTCAGCAGATGTAAGCCAATGTAGCTGTAAAGGTAAATGTGAAAACAGATTATGTGGTTGTCGCAAAAACAACAGGAAATGTAATAGCGCCTGCAAGTGCTCAAAAGAAAACTGCAAAAACATGGCACAAGAAGAGCACTCTGGATCAATGAATATTAAGGAGGAGACTCTAGATAGTATATGCATACCAGTACCTAATAACACCAAATCAGATACTAGTGAATGCAGGTGATATGTTTTTTCTTAAATATAAGGATATATCCTTATATTTAAGAAAAAACATATCATTTCATATATGAAATGAGTAATAAGACTGACAATATTTTCAAGATTAATAATTACCTGTTTTAATGCCATATTATTACTTAAAAGGCTGAATTAGATGTTTAATAATTTAGTATAGAAGAATTAACATTTAAATGAGAAGCAATTATAAGTAATTTCATGAATTTCTTCTTAGATTGGAATAATTAGAAACAAAAAATGAATTGTTGATCTAATACATTCCATTGATTTTAAATTTCTAAAAACAATTATTTAATGTTTATTATAGGTTATTAATATAATATTAAATTAGTATTGCTTGTTATTGTAGATTTAATTTTTTTCTTAACGTAAAGGCTCGTTTTACGAAAATTGTATATATAGTTAAAATAGTGTATAGAAAATTTACATATAGCTAACAATTTTAAAATGTAACTTGAGTTGAGTCTTAGAAATTTTTACTAAACAGCATATAAAAGGTGCAAAGCAATGGTTTTAAAGGTCTTTTTGAAAGATTAGGTTTTGATTAGTTTTAAGTATTTTGATATCAAACTGTATATATGCAATAGTTAATAAAAATAAATCTATTTTATTAAATGTATTGTTTTTGTTAAGTTCTTTTGATGTCTGTTTGCCGATTCAACAAAATCCAGGTCTATGGAATTTCATTGTTTAGTTTCAAATGCTTGTCAGGTGAGCAATTTATCAATAATTATTGAATTAAATCATACTTAAAAAAAAACTTCTTCAAATCGACCAAAAATGGTTTAAATAAGAATTACATTTTTATAGGTTTAAAGAAATTCATATAGGTAAAACATTAATTTCAGTACCTGTTTAGTTTTTTTCTTCTTCAAATAACACTTAATATTTAGTATTAGATTCAATTTCTAAAGTATAACTGTACTTTTGATTTGATTTATAGATTTAGTGGAGAAAAGTTATATTGAAAAAAATTATCTACTTAGAAGAGGAATCAGTGCCGACATACTTTTAGTATGATAACACAAGAGCTATATGACAAGCATCATAATGAAATGGTTAACAATGTTATATGTAAATAAGCATGTGTTTTAAAAATAAGTTTTTATAATCACAAAAATGTGAATAAAACATTTATATAAACAGCACTAAATGAATGTCAATCAAACTCTTAAAAAAAGCTTAATAATTTTTGCTTCTTTATTTTATTTCCTTCCCATAGAGACAATTAAATTAGACAGAAATTCAGCAATCCTGAACCGATTTTAAAAAATTGAAAAATATCAGTTGGAAATCGTGCTAATTAGTTTCTCGTAAAGATCGGCGGGGTCGTTTTTTCGTAATCAATTGTTAATTTTTTGAGGATTTCATTAATATATATATATAGCTGGGTCATTCTTTTACAAACCGGACACTTTTTAACCTTGACATTTTAGAATTGTCTGAAAATTTGTTTACAGATACTATTCATAAAATCATTTGACACGTATTTCAGGATTTTGCTGAAAAAAAATTTTTGACGTTAATATTTACGATTGAAATATGGATTTTTTGCTCAATTTCTATGAACATCATCTGCGGTAAATTAATTATCTCCGGATGTGCTGATCCGATCAGTATTATTTTTTTTTATTACACTCATATTGAAGTGAACTTAGTAATGATTAAAAAAATTTTTTTTGTTTTTGCAATTTTCTTAACAATAACAACCCTTAAATATTTACAAAGGTTTTACTCGGCCTTTACCCGAATTGAATCGATCCAAAAAAAAACATATATTTTCTTTTTTTCTCTGCAACAAAATTCTTTTTACAATTTGTTGGAGGTTTTGTTACATCGAAAGATATTAAATATTTTCAAGCGCGAGTCGCGCTTTTCACGTCGTGGACCTCAAAGACTTGTACTCATTTGTCACTTTCGAATAACAATCTTATTGTTTTTGGTTGAAAAATATTTTATAATTTTGCTTCTGGCGAAAAATGAACATATAGTCGAAAAAAACATTAGGGGAGAGCGGAGCTTAAAAGTTCGTGGGTAAAAAGATCCACTGCCAATATCTCAAAAACAAGTAAAGTTAGAAATTTTTTGACAACAATATTTGAATGTAGAGGAATATTTAAGTTGGCTTCAACCCTTTCTGATATAATCTCTATTAAAGCTTACATGTGGGTGGGGTAAACAGAGTCAACCACATCTTCATACTGGCCTAGGTGTAAATAATAAGGAAATAGTAAATAAAAAATTAAATTAAGTTAGAAAGAAGCTATTTTACAATAGATATATTGATATATATATATAATTATATATAAATTAATAGTTAATTAACTCTGCTGATAAATATTTCTGACAAAGCATCAGATCAAAGGTATATCTGGTATTTTCTTTATAAAAATATACGAATGAAATTTTTATGTTACATTGGCTATATAATTTAGCTATTATTACGTAAAATTCTATTAAAATTAAAAATAAGTCGATCCCTTTTTATCCAGGCTACGGAGTGAAGGCGGAAAATGACGAATTTAAAAAAAGTGGCTGAAAAACATTTTTTTATTATTAGAAAAATCTAACTGAACAATCCGTCTACATTCAAATATTGTTGTCAAAAAATTTCTAACTTTACTTGTTTTTGAGATATTGGCAGTGGATCTTTTTACCCACGAACTTTTAAGCTCCGCTCTCCCCTAATGTTTTTTTCGACTATATGTTCATTTTTCGCCAGAAGCAAAATTATAAAATATTTTTCAACCAAAAACAATAAGATTGTTATTCGAAAGTGACAAATGAGTACAAGTCTTTGAGGTCCACGACGTGAAAAGCGCGACTCGCGCTTGAAAATATTTAATATCTTTCGATGTAACAAAACCTCCAACAAATTGTAAAAAGAATTTTGTTGCAGAGAAAAAAAGAAAATATATGTTTTTTTTTGGATCGATTCAATTCGGGTAAAGGCCGAGTAAAACCTTTGTAAATATTTAAGGGTTGTTATTGTTAAGAAAATTGCAAAAACAAAAAAAATTTTTTTAATCATTACTAAGTTCACTTCAATATGAGTGTAATAAAAAAAAATAATACTGATCGGATCAGCACATCCGGAGATAATTAATTTACCGCAGATGATGTTCATAGAAATTGAGCAAAAAATCCATATTTCAATCGTAAATATTAACGTCAAAAAATTTTTTTCAGCAAAATCCTGAAATATGTGTCAAATGATTTTATGAATAGTATCTGTAAACAAATTTTCAGACAATTCTAAAATGTCAAGGTTAAAAAGTGTCCGGTTTGTAAAAGAATGACCCAGCTCATGGTTTTAACCAATATCTTAAAAAATCATTAAAGTTTGAAATTAATGTTATGACGATTATTTACATATATCGTGAAGTTCATGCAACTTGCCTTCAGACAAAATGCCACTTTCTCCTAGTTAAAACTCGTTTTATTAGCAGAACATCGATTGGTGATTGAAAACTAGAAAAATAAGACAACTAAAAGGAGACTATTCAAATAACTGTTATTAAACGGATATAATAATACATTAACTTATTATTATGTTTCGAAATATTTAATAAATGAGTATACTGTATAATGAAACATAGTAAAACCTACCATTGATTTCGTTATTCACATCATTAGTACTTTCTGTCAAATATTTGTTGGATTACATCATAGATAAACAAGTATAAATGGATTATTATATATATACGAGTATATATATATATATATATATATATATATATATATATATATATATATATATATATATATATATATATATATATATACTTTTCATATACACTGTTTTACTTATTTTTGTCTGTCAATTATGTATTTTTTTATAATGTTTTTAATTTGTAACCCTGAATTATTTAATTGTAGCACTGAAGATGGGTCAAATCCAGACCCGAAACGTATGTTCTCTATAAATAAAAACATTTTTCATTAAAACTGTTTTTTAATTACTGGATGGATGCCCAAGAAACAATTTTATTATATTATTTCACCATCTGAAGAAAAACCTCTCGCTTTATATATATATATATATATATATATATATTTATATATATATATATATATATGCGAAGACTTATTGAGCGAACATATGCGATGAACTGACCGAAACTGACAATTTTACGACATTGTTTTAGCTGTAAGACAGGAAATTATTGGTGGGGATAAATCAATGGTTGCTTTTTTTTTTATATATATTTTTGAACAGCAATCAGACCTTACGTCCTATGAGCTGTTGGGCTAAAACTTCTTACTTCGTATTTATTTTAGATGGTAACCCAGTGGTTAATCCATCCATATTTGATGATTTTGTTATTAGAATTAATCTAATAGGGCTGACATTTTATTGGTGCAGCAATGCCGGACAAGGGCTATTTTCACTTGGAAACATATTGCTATCTATTAGTGATGTGCCGACTCGAAAAATTCCCGATTCGAATGATTCGAATCAGAAAAAAACCTGATTCGAATCATGATTCGAATCAACTCGAATCAAGTATATATATGGACAAAAAAAATCATGGATGTATTAATTTAGTAAAAGTGATCCAAATTTATAATCAAAATTGTCAGTTTAACCAATATAACCGACGAAGTAGAAATTGTAAACATAAATCACTATCAAAAAGTATATTCTGAAAATTATTAAAAATGATGTAATTTTGAGGACGGCTAAAACATATCTTCAAATTAATTTACAATAATAGATTACCAAACAATTGTGCATCACTAAAGCATATAAAATAATATTTGGAATCATGGGTCGATTGTTTATTTTACTATGTAATCAGTAAAGGATCGCATCTAAACTGAGAGCTGAAAGTTAATTTCATTAATGTGAATTTGCCATTACTTACATAATCAGAAGTTAATATATTATTTACTGACTTTCTGGTGTTTAGTAATTGTTTCAAAAGAGAATTATATTGAAAGATTCCCGAAACTCGTTTCATAATTTTGAGTGGTTTATTCTGA